GATGGTTAAGGGTGCCATGTCCCACATGGCTAAATGCAGTTCAAAGTCCTAGCCCCAGGAGCTTGAAAAACAGGCCAGGCAAGTGTGTGTGCATACTCAAAATCCCAACAGAATGGAGTAATGAAGGAGAAGGGATTGTAATGTTACTACACCCTATTGAAGGCTTCTCTCCCTTTCTCCCTCTCCCTGACTTCTGTCTAGTGAACACATGTGCCCTGTGACAGTTAAGAAATTTTAGTCTTTCAGTCATTCAAGCTGTATTCTAAGTATTCAAAAGTCAAGTAACTAAAATGAAAAAAAAAAAAAAGTTTTGCACTATTCTAAGTCCTCATAGACATATATAGCTCGTGGCTACCATACTGAACATTGCAGATTATAGAGGGGTATTGTAATTGCAGACAGTTGTATTGGACGGTTACTGGTCTAGATGCAAAAAGTCAACCAAAGGGTAGAAGTAATTGTTTATTTCTTTTAAAAGAATTATTTTGTTTAACTGTATTTACTTATTTAGTTAACCAGAGAAGGACAGAGCGAGAACTAGAGAGGGAAAGTGAGAAAGCAAGCCACCAGGTCCAAAACTCAAACCATGGTTGACCACGTGAGAGTCCAGTACCCTTAACCAACATGTCACCTGCCGGCCCCAAAATTGTTTATTAAGATACCAGCATAAAGAGATAGAAAACAAAAGTATTTGTCTGCCTTTAAGTTAGTGACATCAATTCTAGTGTAAGAAAAAGAAAATGTAAAACTTGAATTTTTATATAAAATACAAGTTTGTACTTGTACTTGGAAGTTGATTTCTTACTACCAGCTGCAATGCATTACCATGTTCCAGTAATTGTTATAGATGATCCTGTGTATTTAAATATATTTGTTTATGCACCTGTAGAACTGAAACTAAATAGAAACTTGACAAGAATAGACAAGCATTTTTGTATATACCAGTTAGAATGTTTTGCCATGGGTCAGAGGGCTTATAAAAGTAAAAACCATAAAGCTAAAATAATTTGAAAATCCATCCATTCCTATATTCAATAAAGTTAGATTTTTTAATTTAAAAAAAAGATACCAGCATAGAAAGAAGAAAATTTTAGTAAATTTTAGTTGATCCAAAAGAGGTGTAAGTGTGAATTTAACAATAGTTCTGAGGCCAGCCCTGTGTGCTAGTGGTTAAAGGAGCCAGATCCTACATGGCCGACTGGATTCTATATGACTGAGTCTGCTGTTTGAATACTGGCCATAGCATCTCGAAAACTATGTCACATGTGTTGTGTCCCAAATGCTAATTGGATGGAGAAGTGGAAGAGAAGGAATGGCATCATGGCCATGCTCTACTAGGGGTGATTTCTCCCTCTTCCTGTCGGTCTCTTTGGTGAGCACAGGTGTCCTCTGGCAAATGCTTAAAAAAATAGTCTTAAACAACCTCTTTACCTGTTTGTTTTTTTAAAAAAATTTGTTTATAATAATAGGATGAACTGGCAAGTACAGTTTAGAATCGCGAAACTTAAAAGTTCATTTTTTTTTTTCTGTTGTTTTTCAAGTGTTGGTACATATAGTACCCAAGCAAAGAGACTTGACTAATTGTTACTGTACATGGAAAAGCTACAGATAATAAAATTTCATTTTGTTTAGTACATTGCTTAGGGAAGTTTCTACATAAGGGGGGCTAAGTTTCTGGTTAAAGAATTTTTGGGGCCAGCTCGTGGTGTGACAATTAATGAGCCTGGATCTCACATGGCTGACTGCAGTTTTAGTCTCTGACCTGGCAGCTTAAAAAATGTGTGTGTGACCACAGTCCCTCGAGAAGAATGGAGGAGAAGAGTTTGGTGTGGCTATTCCCCCAGAGGATGATTTCTCAGTTTCTCTCTCCAGTTACTTATACCCTGTTGCAAAATTAAAAAAGAAAAAAAAGAAAAATTCGATTTAACAAGTGGCATACTTGGATCTAAAGGTTAGAAATAATAAAAGAAGGGGGACCAGCAGGTGGTGTAATGGTTATGTTGCTGGACCATCACATAGACAACCACAATTCAGTCCCAGACTAGGCGGCTTAAAACATGCCAGATATGTGTGTGCATGCACAAAATCATGAGAGAAGGGACTGTGGTGTAGCCGTCTCCCCTTTGGTAAGTGCCCTTACTCTCCAGCAAAACTTTAAAAAACAAACAAACAAACAAAAACTAGGCATGCTTTCTTCATTTTTAGCTCTCCAGTTCATGACAATATCCATCTTAAACCTCTGCTTTCTCTACATAAAATTAGATACCCCATGCATCCCATCCAAAAGTCCTTTCATCCATATGGATCTGTTGAACTACATTCTAGTTTCTTGTGTTTTGCTTAGGTATTTCCATTATACTCTGTTTTTGCTCAGTCGTGTTTTGAACAGCAACACAAAACACTTAGATCATCTTTCACCACTGAGATTCCAGAATTAGTATCTTAGTAGTATACTTGCCTTTCAATTTTTCATGTCTCATATTCTAGGTTGTACTACATTCCACTGACTACTTGTGACAGCCAGAATGAGCAGCTGTGGCCTCGTTAAGTGCCTACAGCCTAGTTTATCTCTTAGCACTGAGGGTATTTGTCCACTTGAAACTTCTCTGGTATCTAGGGTATCACTCCAGCCTTGCTCCCCTAGTCTTTCTCTCATTGGCTCTTTGGTAACCTGCGTGGTCATGTTCCTCAAAGTGATGGAATATAGAAAACTAACAAATCTGTAGCTTGGTTACTTAGTCACTTTTTTGTGTTCATTTTTTCCTATAGTGTGTGTGAACTCATTAGGTGAGAGAGAAAGTAAGAAATCATCCCCCCAAGGGGCTGGCCATGCCGCAGGCCCTTCTCCATTCTCTGAGAATTTTGGGCTCGCATGCACAGGTGACCAGCCACTGGGTCCAGGACTCAAGCAGTGGTTGGCCACATGGGAGTCCAGCACCTTAACCAGCACACCACTAGCTGGCCCTTACTGTTTGCTTTTTTAAAAAAAAATTTTTTTTTGGAGAGGTTTTTGCTATAGGGCGCATGTGCTCAGCAGACAGACAGACAGAAAGTGAGAAATCACCCCCCAGGGGGGATGGCCATGCCGCAATCCCTTCTCCTCCATTCTCCTCTCAGGATCTTGGGCACGCATGCACATGCGCTTGGTGTGAGTTTTAAGCCACCCGGGTCCGGGATGCGAACCGTGGTCGACTACATGGGAGTCCAGCGACATAGCCATCACGCTAACTGCTGGTCCCCTCTTTTAAAAATCTTGATGTTGGGCAGGTGGTGTGGTGGATAAGGGCACTGGATTCCCACATGGCCAACCATGGTTCAAGTCCTGGACCTCGTGGCTTGCTTTCTCACTTTCCTTTTCTCTCTCATCAAATAAGAAAAATAAATAACAATAACAAATGGAAATAAAGTAATTCTTAAAAAAAATCTTAATGCTATTTTTAAAATTTTCCTGGATCACAAGTTTACTTAGTACGTGAATTTTCTTAATATTCTAACAGCATATTAAGGAAAAAAGTTCAGTGTCAGTTCAACCAAAAATGAACCCAAACGAGAAACTCTGTTAATGAAAGGAAAATATAAGATGTTGGCATTAGACAGTGTATAGTATCAAATTCCACTTCACAAGGCAGGTCAGAAGGCACCTTGTCTCTTTCCTCTTATTTAATTTTATTATTTTTTAATTTAACCAGAGACGAGTGGGAGAGAAGTGAGAAAGCAAGCTGCCAGGTCTGCGACTCAGACACAGTCGGCCATGTAGGAGTTCAGCACCTTAACCATCACACTACCTGTGGGCCCCAGTTGCAACCTTTTTTTAAACTTCCTTTTACAGGATGATGTTTTTTACCTTGCAGGGGGGGAGGGTTCAAAAAAATTTGAGGAAAGTGGAATTTAAGCTTATTCTGGTACAAAACACTTTGAAGTCCATGCATAGGGCTTAATATGCATTTTGCATGAACTTAAGATTCCAGTGTATGTGGGGAAAAAGACAGGCAAATATACCTATCTTTATTAAATTTGAGAGCATGGGGGAGTTGAATTTTTAAGTATATAATTTTTTGGTTCATTTTTTACTCTCTTGATGGAAAAGATTGTGTTCTTAAATATGAGCTATTGTGTGTTTTGACATTTATGTATTGGAGCTGCGTTGGGTTGGGGGATGAGGGGGGAGAGAGGATTGATGGTGTAGCAATGTGAAGGGATGATTCTGGCAGGAATTTAAGACAAACTTTAGGAACATGTAATTTGACCAGTTGTCATTTTTCGTTTTTAGTTTCCTGATGTATGTTTGAACATTCTCCATTGCTCACCTTTGGTTTAATATGGTAGTATTCATTTTTTTTTAAACCTTTACTTTCAAGGTTAATGTATGAGTCAGATATGCTGTCATTAATGAGTTAGTTACTGGTACTAAACGGAGTTGAACCAAAAGCTGACGGATGCAAAATTAGCGACCACAACCCACTGAATAAGATACTTCGTTTGGATTTGGGACTACAAAAAGAACATTTTCCTACTCTCTTCAATGTTACCTTTTACAAGTTTTGCTTTCAAACTTGGAGCCCAGTAATCTGAGGGGATGTTTAAAATGTAGTTTTCAGGTTTTTCCCCACCCACCAAAAGTTTAGATTCACTGGATGGAGGGAGGGAGGGGAGCACATAGATGTTTGCAATTTTAACTAGCATCCTCTTGGTTGTGATGCAGCTAGTTCGCATCTCGAGAAACGTATAGTTAAATGAAAGACGTTAACGATGCCATCACTTAAAGGCTGGGAGGAGCACACGCTGGGCCCAGTTCACGAAGCTTTCGTCAGCTCACGAGCTGTCTCAGATTGTGGACAACTTCAGACCCACCTTAGCAGCGCGGGCGAATACCTCTGGCAGGTGGAGGCCAAGCGTAGCGCACAGCTCTCCCGCAACCCACGCGTCCAGCCGGAAGCTCCGCCCCTCTCCTGGTGGCTGGCCGCCAACGGCGCCAGGGCCGGAAGTGACGACACCGGCGCGGCCTCTCGGGCGGGGCCTGGGACTGGCAGCTCCGGAGGCCGCGGTTTCACATCGGAAACAAAACAGCGGCTGCTCGGGAGGGCACCTCGAGCGGTCGGCGACGGCGTTGGGGAAGGGG